TTGATTACCTTCAAGCCTTTAAGACCCCAGACGCTATACTTTTTGATAGCCGGGCACCATCAGCTTTCTTCGCCACATTTGCTTATGCACCCATCCCAGATATTTCAACTACCTTGCAAGACCAGATCTTTTGCTTGGGTAATAGATACAAATATTCAACCTGCTAATTAGCTTAAACAATTTCCTAACTAGTCTCCTTGATCTCAATTTTTACTCTCCATGATGCATCTCCATATATTGTTTTTAAAGTAGAAATGTGGTCATAAGACTAACCACAAAACATAGCTATCCTTAACATTTATGAAGGTTCAACATCATAAAGAAGGAACCCAGGCTATAAGAGGGAATTTAAATAATTTTGTGGAAAAACTCTATTACCTTTTAACTTCATCTTTCCGTAATGAAGCCCCCTCATATAAGCAACTACATATCTTCTTGCTTCATCCACGTTTTTTCCTAGGTCTTCAACTTCTCTGATAATTCCTTCCTTCAACCTATACATAGCCTTAATATTTTCTCTTCAAAAATACCCTCCTTTGAATTTTCATCATTTGGCCTCTGTCAAAATATGTTAGAGCTTGAACTTAGCATCTGCAGTACGGAAATGATCAGGCCAGAGTGTGACAGCAGGTCTAACGTGAGTGATAGCAGATAATAAAATTTGAGTGCCACCATGTCCATATGTTTTGACAAGCTTTAAAAAACTAAGTTAAGTTATATTTTATATTATCTATTTTTTTCTTTTTCTAAAGCGGATTTAGGTTTACAAAAATTTTGTGAACTATGTTTATAAAGGGGCTTCTGAAAGTTCTTGGGAAAAATTCCATTACTTTTAAATTATACTTTTCTATAAACTTTTTTGAAACCCTCTGGTACCTTTTTATATAAACTAACTAGATCATCTTTAAATGACAGTGAACCAAGCTCCAATACTAAGCTAAAAACTGTTCTAGAGTACATGAAAGTAAAAAATATTGCACAAAGCAAAATGCCTCCCCAGCAGATAGATTTAAAGATGTGTAGCGACACAAATGAAATATTCACAGCAGGTGAGCAGGCATCTACTGTTACAAACCAGAAAGACAACAGGAGGCCTGCTCATCTCTGTTTTGTGTTTTGGAGCTGCTAGAAACAGACGCGGATTTTGGTATTAGATCATTGTCGAATGGTTGGCAGTGAGTTAATAAACAAGCTGTTCTCCTTGGCACTGTACTGTAAAAATGCAATTCATCTTCCTTTTTAATAAAAACAGCTTTTCAAACTGAAAATAAGTCATTATTCTGTACAGTTTTCATTTGTTATTTTCTTGAGCTATAATTAACACATCATACAATTTAATATTTCAATCATATCAAGAAGGGTTATTCAATCATCTCCATAATAAAACTTTCGAACCTTTTCTTCCTTCTTGTGCCCATTGATGCTGACTCCCTATCCGGTTTCAATTTACTGGTAGATGTCTTATTTGAATCCACGCAGGATAATACTTATGAAGTCTAACATTTTGGGAACTTGGGTTATGTGCCCTCCACTAGACTAAGCTCTTAACATTGATTCTTCACAACCTCTTTGTTTATTAAAACCTCATAGCTAAGGTGGTAATAACCTTTTACAGATGAAATCAAATATTTTCAAGGTCACTCAGCGATAAGTAGTAGGGCCCAGGCTCAAACCTAAATCTGCTTACAAAACTGAGATGCCTTCCCAATACTGATTTCTCTCTCTCTTATGTAAAATTTTGCTTCTGAAGTAAATTTACTGTCTTGCATGACTAAAATTCTACATATAACTCTGTAAAATGCATGTACCTCATCTAAAAGGAACAGTATCTACACAGATTATTTGTGTATTCCGTAACAGTGCCTGTTAATAATTACTATTCTATTCTACAGGTCTATGCTGGTTCCTAACTCTTGGCACTTTATACTGGAACAATGCAGTAAGAACTTCACTGAGCATCTACAATACACAAAGCATGTGCGAGCCCCTGATGGGACACAAAACTTCCACAAGTATCTTGTCCAAAGAAAACACCACATATGCAGAAAGCAGCCTGTATGACACTACACTAGAATAAGAATAAAGGGAAACATTATTCATTACTACTCATAACAGTTAACAGAAAAATAACAGATAATTAAGCTTTGGCTCAAAGCCTTTAAGGGATCTTTTCTAGTAAAGGGTAACTATTCTGGTTGCAAGAAAGCGACCCTCAAAATTATGATGTTTAGTTCTGGGTCATGCTTTAATACAAACAAATTACTTTTCCTTTAATTTAGTTTTAGAATCATCTTCATACATTCATTCACTCTAAAGTGATTCCAAAATGATAAAATTCAAGTCAATATTATAGAAAGAAAATAAGACTTAAATAAAAGTGACAACAAAATTTCTGCAAAAGTAGATCTTAGCATAATTTCAGTTCCCTCAAAATATGCCTATCTATTGGCCTCTTTGATTAATAGAGTAATATATTAGAGCAAGAAGGCAGAAAAAATGAAAAGGTATGCACTTGTGTATGTATCTGTATGCATACACATATAGAAACACCTTATTCCAAAAGAACTATAATTTCATCTTAAAGCTTTTGAAACTATTTGAGACCATGGTGCTTATTACCTACCCAAATTACACAGCCAAATCTGAGCCCTTCTTCATGGGCTAGCTTGAATAGTAAAACCCTACTCTTCATTTAGATTGACTTTTACTATGTGCAAAATAACCCCAGAAACTTCATTCCATGCTCACAATCTGGTGGGTTACCATACGGAAGACCATTACGCACCCTCACTGACAGATAAGGAAACTGCGTCTTAAAAGTAGTTAAGGGATCTCACGTTGCTAAGAAATGGCAGAACTGGGACAAAACCCTAGTTTTTCTAGTTAGAACTCTGTACTCTACATGCTAATTCACTAACTAGGACACTCAGCCTTTTGTAGAATCCCCCCCCGGAACCTCCTCCTCCTTTTCCTGCCAATCACAAAGCCAGGTTCTGATTCCTGAATCACTAAGTCAGTTACTGCCGAAAATCATTACGTGTTCTCCCTTCCACCTTCCTTCTGATGTAGTCTATTTAAACCAGTGGATTATGGGCAAAAAAGAAATTTTATTTGGAAATCTATCAAGTCGATCAAAAATGAGGTCTTACTTTATATCGTAAATATTTTCAGTAGTTTAAACCATTATCTACCATATACCTCTTTAATCCAAGATACAGTCAGAACAAAAACCTTGTTGGAAACTATCACAGCAGTACAGAAATTCTACAGAGACGTTAACAAGACTCTTATTACCGAAGAAATAAAGTGCATCTTCAATTCTTGAGACACGTCTGAGTTCTAGAAGCCCCCAAAGCAAAGGCTGAGGTAAAAACCACCAGGTTCACAATAAAGAGCAACAGTAGATATGAATCAAATCTGTCCTGCTTAACTTTTTTAAAACAATGATATTTCATTTCATCTTTAAATGAAAGTAAAAGGAAACAAAAATCTTCATAGTATTTATGCCATACCTAATAGTTTTTTGAGCTAACGCTTACCAAAGGCACATTGGTTTAAGTATTGGGCAGCTAACCACAAGGTTGGCGGTTCAAACCCACTAGCTGCTCCATAGGAGAAAGATGAGTCCGTCTGCTCCCATAAAGATTTACAGCCTCGAAAACCCTAAGGAGCAGTCTCCTCTGTCTTACAACATTGCTAAATGGTCACTGAGTCAAAACTGACTCAATAGCAGTGTGTTTTTTTAAAAGCTTATCATGCAATTGAATTGAATTCCTATTACCTCAAGATTTTTTAGACATTTTTACACATTTAAAGCAAAGGTATTCAATTTTATGAAATTTTAATTTACTAAGTTGTTTTACCATCTACATTTTCCCATAGATTTCCATATTTTAAATCAGAAAGACATCTTCAGAGAAGAAAAACATATAAAATTACACTTGGAGGAAAATGATTATCAATTCTGCAGAGAGAGATGATTCAATAAAGAGTACTTACATCTTTAAAATAACGCTGTAGTAAAGAAAGCCTAACATCATGAACTGCAGCACAAGTGTCCCAAGGGTAAATCTGTTCCTCTTCAGTGACAGGCAGCTTTTTTGGCTCAATGCTGTCACGGCACTGCCCTAAAACTACAAGGACAGCAGAGATAAGGATCATTAAATAATCGACAATTATTTATAACTCATTCACCAAGAAAAGCCACAGTGCTTACAACAAACAAGCTACAAGAATGTTTCTATTTCTAAACATCTAAGAGTGGTGTTCTCATTTTTCTCTGCAGAATAAAGCTCCAAATATGCTAATATTCAATCTTCAAAATAACACTAAGATGACAAAATGAACTCATAATAAGATTGGGGGGGCAGGGGTGAATGGACAGGCAGACAGATACCTGTCTGGTGAAAATGTCTCGGAGCAATGATTCTTCAGTATCATAAACTTCTGTGCATACTATTTCTCATTGAAAGGAACCTGAGATCCTTGGAGAAAGAGCTAATTGAAGGACAAGGGGAAAGTATACGGTGAGCCTCAAATTTTGTGCAAGAAAGAGCAAGAAGTGTTCAAATGTTAACAGCATGAGTCAGAAAGTCTTGAAGAAGCTCTGGGTGGACAAATTTGAGAAAATCTGAATATCAAAAAGAATGATATTCAATAAATCATAAAAGCAATAAAAGTTGGTGGTTGGAAACGCCCAGAGGCATATCAGAAACCAGGTGTAGAAAAAGGCACGGCTCCACTAACCCTGTGAAGCATGGTTCTCCTCTGCACACCAGGATTTGGAGTCCACTTAACAGCAGTTAACCAAAAAATGACAACTGTGGTGCCCAGAAAAAGGCCCAGGCGTGGCATTTAGCTTCAGTCAGAGAATGAAATAATTCAAAAATTGATATCTTGCAACTATCAATATAATGGATTCAGATAAAAAATATCAAATAAAAAAAAGTGTCAAAGGGTAAGTGAATAGTCTAAATGTGCCATTCTGTAGATCACTTGTTATCCATAAAGTTTTAACTGGTTAATTTTTTTACAGGTAGATCAGTAGGTCCACCTTCCTACTGAAACCTATCAACCATGTATAATTCTACTTATATTTGGAAAAATTACTAATACAACTTCTAGCATCACAGAAACACATAAACAACCACAGTGGTTACGAACCATGACAGCCATGTGGTGGATCGGTTAAATTATGTTGTTGGCTAAGAATAATGAATATACCAAGAAAGGCCAGAAGAACAAAGAAATCTGTGTTGGAAAATTGCAACCAGAAGGCTGCTTAGAAGAAATGATGTCAAGACTGTGCCCCACTTATTTTGGACCTACTATCCAAAGGGACCAGCCCCTGGAGGACGTTTAAACAGAGGAAGACATTCCACGAAATGGGCTGATGCAGTGGCTGTTAGTAATGGGTCCAAGCACAGCAACAACTGTGAGGATGACGCAGGACTGGGCGATGATTCTTTCATTGTATTATAAACAGTACAGTTAAAAGTAAAACAAACTCCGTGACACCTATGTTATTATCGACCACATTACTCAAATGATCGAGCTTGGTTGGCATCACCAATAAAGGGACAAACTGACAAGATGAACCTCCTGAGGTGATTCATGAGAGGGAGTATAATCATCTATGCAGAGTACCTTGTCAAGTAGATCTTGGCTAAAATACTAGAAAGATGTTTACTTATGTTTTGTTGATTATGCAAAGTCATGTATTTGACTGTGTGGCCCATAAATTGTAGGAAACACTGCAAAGAACTGGAATTACAGAACACTTCATTGCGTTGCTGTTGAACCTGTGCAGACTAAGAGGCAGTCACTCAAACAAAATAAGGGCATACTGTGTGGTTTAAAATCAGAAGTGTGTTAGCATTATAAACTTTCACCATACTTATTCAATCTGTACGCTGAACAAATACCCAAGAAGCTGACCTATATAGAGAAGAATGTGGGGTCAGTTTGAAGGAAGATTTAATAACAACCTGTAAAATGTAGAGGACACAATCTTCTTTGATAAATGTAAAAGAACTTGAAACACTTACTAATGAAGAACAAAAGACTACAGCCTTCTGGATTACACCTCAACATTAAGAAAACAAAAATCCTCACAATTACATTATAAATGGAGAAAAAGACTGGAGCTATCAGGATTTCATTTTACTTGGATCCATAAGGAACGCTCACAGAAGTATCAGTCAATAAATCATAGGACATACTGCATTGAGAATTGGTGCCTCTGAGTTATGGTGTTGGTGAAAACTATTAAAAGTCCTGTAGACTATCAGAAGAACAAACAAATCTATCTAGGAAGAAGTATAGCCAAAATGCTCCTTAGAAACAAGGATGGTAAGACTTCGTCTCATGCACTTTGGACATGTTATTAAGAAAGACCAGACTGTAGAGAAGGACAGCATGCTAGGTCAAGTACAGGGTCAGCTAAAAAAGGAGGAAGACATTCAATTAGAGGGATGACTGGAACAATGGGCTCAAACATAAAAACTATTATGAGGATGGCATGGCCCGGCTGTGTTTCCTTCTGTGGTACATGGGATCGTGAGGAGTTGGAAGTGACTTGACAGTACTTGACAAAAAGAACAGCATTGCACTGAGGAAATCTGCTCTCAACTATCTCTTCCAGGTATTAAAAAGCAGGGATGTCAACTCTGAGGACTAAGGTAAACCTGACTCAAACCAGTATATATTTTATTCCCTCATATGCATGTGAAAGTTAGGTGTTGAAAAGAAGAACGGAAAAGAACTGATGCATATTCTTTTCTTTTCTTTTTTTTCACAATTTCTTTTTTTAAAAAAACATTTTATTGGGGGCTCGTACAATTCTTATCACAATCCATCCATCCATCCATTGTGTCAAGCACATATGTACATTTGTTGCCATCATCATTCTCAAAACATTTGCCTTCTACTTGAGCCCTATGCATTTTCATTTCAGTGTTGGTGAAGAATAATAAAATTACCATAGACTGCCCGAAGAGAAAACAAATCTGCTCTGGGAGAGTACAGCCAAGATGCTCCTTAGAAGCAAGGATAGCAAGACTTGAGTTCATAAACTCGGGCCATGTTATTAAGTGGGACCAGTCCCTATAAAGGGGTCTTGCTTGGCAGAGAGAGGGTCAACAAAAAAGAGAAGCTCCGTCCATGAGATGGTCTGACACCGTGACAGTGGCACTGAGCTAGGCGGCGTGTTAGTCTTTGTTCACAGGCTCACCGTGAGTGATAACTAGCTAGACAGCACTTACCAGCAGCAGCAGCCTGGACAATGGTTCATGTGCAGCTGGGGAAAATGGATATGTTGGACTCTTTACAAGGGGGCTTCAAAATGTTCACTAAAAAAATCCATTTTTTAATCCATTATGTTTTCATTCCGTTTTCCATGAACTTTTTGAAACCTGTTCACATATGTCTGTTAGATCTAGCTATAATATTAAATTTCTTATTTCTCTGTTGATATGTCTAGTTGTTTATTCATTACTGAAAGTAGGGTGCTGGAGTCTCCAACCTGTCACTGTTAAGAGTCAATTCCGACTCCTGGCCCTTCCATGACTTTCAGGGTAGAATTGCACTAATATGGTTTTCATTTGCTAATTTTCATAAATTGATTGACAAGACTTTCTTCCTAGGCACCTGTGTGAAATCACACTAACCGTTCAATTAACAGTCAAGGACCTTAAGCCATCTTTGCTACCTGTAAGATGAGCCCAGCACACCCTGTGACACTAGCAAACAGGAGGGAGCAGGCTCCTAGGTCTGTGCTGAACATACGCAGGCGATAACTGGAAGAGGGGACAACCGAACAAAGATGGCACAACATGAGCATCGATATGAAAAATGCACCATGGTTCACACTGATGCCAAACAGTACTGCAGGGCAGTGAATTATTTAATATGGCCCCTCTAGCCAGAGCCTTTCTGATCGCCACCAAATGCCCTTCATTTTCCTTGTGAGTCTGGGTCAAAGAGAGTGGGGAAGGAAGCTAATGATCAAGATATAAGATTCAGCTGTGAGTGATTTTAACATGGTTAATTGTGACTGCCATCTTGCTGAGCATAAAATCAGCTATCTCAGAAGTTGTAGGGAGCATCTCACTAAGCAGGAGAGCAGGCCCTTGGACCCTGAGTACTGGACACTGAATTTCCTGAATCCAAGAGACAGCTTTTTGACACCAGATGATTGGCAGACTCACAGCAGCAGAACCAGGAACCAGAACATGAGGCAGAGTGGTGGACTTGCTAGTCCACAGGGAAAGTTAAGTGCTTTGGGGCAAGAGGTTGGCTTGTGGAGTGAGGGTACCAACGAGCACTTAATTTGCAGATGTGTAAGGCTATAGGTTAAGGCTTAAAGCAGAAAGGCATGCCTTTCCAGCATTTATTAGCTGCCCCAAAAGAGTTTTGTAACATTGCTCGAGCAGATCACGAAGAGGATGAGGGTCAGAAAGAACCCTGAGGCCTGCCTTGGAAAACAGCAGAGAAGAAACCATCCTGACTAGACAACTGGATCCTGAATTATAACCTATTAACTTCCCTAGTAGACCCCACAATCATAAGCATCATCTGTGAGTTCTATGATAAACCATTGCAATGGATTATCAAACCCAGACACAAAAGTAGTATGCGCTGTGGATGGCAGAGCAAGTACTAGTTAAATATTGGTATTATGATAAAGAACTATCAACTAATAAGTAAAGGGGGAAATGCAGTCTTTTCCCTACCTTTCCTTTATAATCTCTATGTCAGGGTAACCAAATAACTGATGAGGTAAAATATCTTTTGAAGGATAGTATAGCTCATAAAAAAAGAAGGAATGAAAAAGAATTTGCATTTAGGAACTAAGCATGGATGGCTGCTATTACCTCAAATACCAAAAAAAAAAAAATAGATTGGACAGAGGAACATGTTAAATAACCATGGTATGGTCATTGAGCAAAACCCCAGTTGTTCTTCAATGATCTAATACATCAGGGAGAAGCCAAAAAGAGGAAGTTAAAATAAAAACCTATTAAGCAGAACACCATAAGTTGTCAAGGATTTTGTCTTGCTTGGTTGGCTCCATAATCAATGCTCACGAAACCAGCATTCAAAAGATCAAAAGAGGGTATTGTTTATATCTCCACAGGGAAAGAGGGACCAGACTTCAACCCAGTGCTCCAAGGTGTGACTGCAACATGCCGGCGTGGAGTAGGGAACCAGTGGAGAGGTCTGGGGGGCTGGCCCCAGTCCCAAATACTAAGCGGATGCTGCCGCTCCCCACAGAACAATTTATTTCAAAGGACGGCACTGAATCCGCAGATCCAGGAGAGGGACATATCTGAGCGGAGCACACAGGAGGAGATGAGACTGGAGCACATCCTGGCCCACCAGGCGTTGAGGACGATGACCCCAATTAGAGCAGCCAGTCCACAGAGAAGACCACATGGCCAGCCCCACTATGAGACACGACGTCCCTCACTGACCCATGGCCCTACGGGGGACAGCACCAGAGACACAATGTGGGAATTGCTCCCGATCAGATCCCGCCACACCGAGGCAAAGCACTGGGGGAGTGCAGCAGAACAGCAGGGGAGAGGAGCGGCAAGGTCCCCAAGGAATGATGAGGGTGGACTTTGGGGCCAGGGCGTGGTGCCCCAACAGACTGGACTGGAAAACACTCCTAAAGGCCAAC